TTAATAAACATTGGGCCCCACCCCTCTCTCTCTCTCTCTCTCTTCTTTCTGATCGTCTTCTTCCTCAAGAATAAATCTGAAAATGTGGAGTGTATGTTATTTAAGAAAAAACCAAGAAAATAAGGAGCAACTCTTCCTCTTCGTCTTCAAAACAATCAAAACGAGAGGGGTTCGGCACTACAGGGCTGCTCCGACGACCTACTTCGTCTTCTGGTCCAATCATTTGCAACACAGGAAGGAAAATAGGATTGATCAGGAATCAAACCAATAGCGACTGTCGGTGGTCCTGAGGAGTTCAATCAAGCAATAAGGGTGAAAATCGAGACTTATTGTGGTTGTGTTTGGTCAGTCAGTCAAACGAAAGGGAATGGGTCTTCGATTCCCATCTGATCGGAGACAAAAGGGATCGCAAGCAACATCTTCTTTCTTTCTTCTTTTCCTGATTCGTTATGAAGCACGAAGAAGGAGTCGATTTTTCCGGCGGTTCAAGCCTTTAATCGGGGTTGTGGGGGTTGAGAAGGGTAGCAACAGTCGGAGAGGGTGCTTGTGGTGGTGTTTCTCGGCAGAAGGAGGAAGGGAAGGGAATATGGAGGTGGCGGCAGTGGGGAACCGGGAAAACATCACCGGTGATTCTAGTTCTTTGACAGGGGAAGGAGACGAACAGGATGACAGTCGTTGAGAGGGCTGTGAAGGGGTATCAGAACAGTACAACAGCAATTTCGGGCGTGTTTAACAGCGGGTGCTGGGACTGCTACTACCGGCGAAGAATCACCGGTCCTTTCCTTCTTTTTCACTGGTTCTACAATGAGAGTGGGTGTTTTGGGTGATGGGTCATCAGGAAGAAGAAGAGAGAGAGAAAGAGAGAGAGAGAGAGTGAGAGGTGAGCCCGGTTTTATATTTAATAATAATAATAATAATTTTAAAAAGTGAAAGAAAAATGAAAATTAAATTCATTAAGGGTATAATAGTTTTTTTAATTTGGACAGGGACCAAAACCACATGTAAACTAGCTCAAAAGGACCACCAATCCAAAAAAGTTGTGGTTTGGACTAAAACCCCAAAAAAATATATACCATAGGGACCATTTTTGCAATTTTGTCTTTATATATATATATATATATATATATATATATATATATATATATATATATATATATTTGTGGTGTACCCGTGCAAAGCAGCGGCGGCGACGAATTGTTTATTCCGGCGATAGGTTTAGGCCAACAATAAATTAAAATACAATAATATAAGAAATTTATCATGTACTTACTACACATACATCAAACATAACTTGTCTTGTTTATTTTGTCATTTAGTGGTACACCTACCAAAACAAAACATATGGCTTAATTTTTTGAATTTATCATTTTCACAATGTACTTGAATACATTATTTTAACAAATGGTTTCAAGGAAAAGCTCATTGGCTAGATGTACATATAACATATTGATTCTCGGTCTCTTTCGAGAAACATATTGGTTCTCGGCTATTGCATCACATGAGGTTCTTCTGAATTAATTTGTGCATCTACATGTGGTAGATTATGAACACTAATTTTTGGCAATTGAATAAGATCAGCTTGCCCCTTTTCATCTTACACTACAAGGTCTGATACTTGTTCCTGAAAAGATTTATTTTGAAATTTCTGATAAAAACCAAATAAAACTAAACTGACCATTTTACCCTTCTTTCAAAAGTGGAAATTTGCAAGATTGGATGAAAAAAATTATGAAAATGCAAATAACTTACCAAAATTGTTGGCATTGGATAATCTCAAGCAAACAACTAAACATATTTCATCCTGAGGTACACCTGCAAAGGCAACTAAATAGAGGGTGTATTTTTCTTTTTCTTTTTAACCATTAAACCGAATGTGGGATAAGAAATCGCCAAATTAGAAATAAAAACAAGTTAATTTTAAACTTCTGATTTATGACAAATTGCTTCTAATTTTATCACACCAACCAACGCTGTTAGCAAGAAAGTATTCATGTAAAGTAGAGGTGCACAAAGCGAACTGATTTTTTTAACCTGGCGGAAAAAAACCAAACCAGTTATGTTGAGAACCGGTTTTGAGAAACTCAAAACCGGTTCACCGAACAGGCCGTTTTTAAACCGAAAAAAATGATTATTGAACAAACATTAAAAAAAAAACTAAAAACCCAAACCGATTTTTTATTAAAAAAAAACTATGACCAGTTTAAAAATGGTGTTTGTGCATCTCTAGTGTACCAAAGTGAACATTTTGGACCATCTTCACCATAGAATATGTTGCAAATCCCTCAACATTGAGCACACACACACACATATGATAGATTTACTATATTATATTGACTGTCAAAAGTGTTTTTAGATATTAAAAAGTTGAGAGATGTATTTAGGGTGGACTACTGGCAAGTCCTATGTGAGACTATACCAAAGAATAGATGACACCAAAGTCACATTATACCCTCCCCCAAATTTATACCAAACCCACCTGAAAAGAAATAAAAAGACTCAATAAGAAAGCTCTTATAATCAAATGCAGCCACAAACCTTTATAACAGAAGGCTCAAGGAGTAAATATATGACACAACCCAGTTTACAATGAATTTAAATTGCAACTCAACAAAACACAAATTATTGATTCCAAACAAACCTCAATAGATCTGGCTGCACGTTACCATTCACTGACAAGTTTTGTTGCTCCTCCTTCTGCAACTTACATATATTTATTTTCTTCAACAAAATAACCATGAGGTCCATGACAATGTCGTCCCACTTGTACCTGCAAATTCAGATAAAAATTAAACTAAACAGATTAAAAAAAACGATGAAGATGGTATCTGGATATCTGAAATCGACACACACACACATAGTTAACACACAGACGCACATAGTAGATTTAGAGAGAGATGGGATTCATATTTCAAAATTCTGAAACTACAGAATCATACTTACATGTAACACATGCTATGATGAAGAAAGAACCACATCTGCAATAAAAAAACAAAAGAAAAGATTGTTTGCAGGCGTGGAGAAACAAAATACCTGCAAGTTAAAGACGACCCATATGAAAAAATCGTAGAGGAAAAGCGAATGACAAACCATGGGAAAATAACTTGTATATTACTGCCTCAAGATGTGGAGTTCTTAGGGTGCGTACTAAAGATCGAAGAAGACTGATGGCGATGGTTTCCTACTTCATAATCAATCTTTGAACCCTAAAACTCTGCAAAGAAATTCCAAATAAGTATTAAATTTTTTAATAGAAGTGCAAAAATTGAACATCTTACCAGGTAAGAAGTTGTTAATTGCAGTGGGGTAGTGGGTGATCTCGAAAGTAGATATAACAAGGTTTTCTTCTCCACAACCTTCTTGCTTGCAACTCCATTTTTGAAATCCTAAGAATCAATAGAATATCTTGGCTACAATTCTAATAAGTTTGAGCAGTAATAAGCATAAATATGAAACAAAAAGAAATCAAAAGTGCCAGAACTCTAAAAACCTAAGAAAAATTAAAAATGGTGGTCAAATCCAGGTTATTTATGAAACAATCCTAATTTCTAAGTTTTGTTTACCTGGTAAGATAAAAAACCAAGTTGCTGATCCGTCAAAGGCTACCACATACTGAAGTGTTTTGAGATCGACGGAGGAGTGATAGCCAAGATTCGATTCCTTTTGCCTAGATATAGATTGATACGAGGAGAAGGCCGAGACTCAGGCTTGTATACACAAACAAAAACACAGTGGTTATCGTTGATCCGTTATGGATTTCTTGTGTGAGAAAGAATGCGACAATAAACATAGATTACCTGTTCCTTGCCCAAAACTGATCAGAGAGGGACATTCCAAACCTAAAATCAACCCCAGATGGAGTTCGGCCTCTTCCAGTAAGTGTGCAGCGATGAGCTCGTTGGGTATAGGGTTTTAAGTTGTGCATTGGTGGAGAGATTGTGGTGAGATGGTGGTCCGACGGAGTGGCGGTGGTGTGGGCAGGCCATTTGGTGATGTCGGTGATTGTGTTTTTAGGTTTTCTTCCAATTAGCAGATGATTTACAGGTTGACATAATATATATGCGGCTATTTTACGATGTTTTCTAGGTGTTCTATCAACGAAGTCGTCGATTATGTGAGAATTCAAATGGAAAAAGTCAGAGAGAAAAAGTCAGATACGTATGATAAGAGCTGTTATATGGGTTAAGTTTAAAATTTAATATTATTTTATTTATGGTTATTAATGGTTTGGACGTCTTAAAAAATTAATATTATTATATTCAATCTATTTTTAGAAATATGAGATTTGTTTTATAAGATAGTATATATATATATATATATATATATATATATATATATATATATATATATATATATATATATATATATATATATATATTAATTTTCTCGTTCAATGCCCTAAAATCAATAGCCTATTCTTAACAAACATAAACAAATCAATGGACCAATCCTATTCTTAACATGCATAAATTCTTTGCCTGATTAATTAATTTCAATCGTTTGGTGTTTCCATTGCATTCTGGCCACTTGTGTTGTTAGATATAGATTTCAAGAATATACCTTGCTTTTATTTTATTGAAATAATTGAATACCGATTCCGTTGAACCAAAACTAAATAACTAAATAACACCAAACAAAACGGTTTTTTTTTTCTTTTATTTGCATTGCATTATGATTAGTTGTGCTTTCTGATATAATTTATACAATATTTTCCCCTTTATCCACATTCAACCAATATCGTCCCCATGCATTCCCAGATTTTAACTTCGACAAGATAAAGCATTGCAATGCTGTTTTTATTCAAAAAAAAATAATAATAATAAAATAAAAATTCGAACCTATAAACCGAACTCAAAAAGCTAAACGAAACCAATATTTCTAATTCAATTTCGGCTTAGGATAAAAAACGAAGAAAACAGACCATGCATACCATAATAAAGAAAAAAAAATCACTACATAACGTGTCACTAGTCCCTATTTCTTCAAAACTCAATCCAAGTACTTCATAACGTGTCACAGTTGAGTGACGGATCGACAGGGAGATTGACTTTGAGATGGCAAATGGAGGTGATTCCGGCGACTTTAGAAAGGTCAACTGGTGGCCGGAATGATTGGACGATTCTCTTAAGGCACCGACAAGTAGTTCTCAGAACATCTTTCGAGGCACTCTCTGCTCCATCCAAAGCTTGTGCATTAGCACAACATTCTTTGTTAGGGGTGGGCGTCATTCCAAACATGTACGACTCGCAAGACAGGAACTTTTTGATTACATCTGGACAATACGTTTGTGCATCCACGCTTTTCGTCGATGACAAAATTGTCAATACTGAAATCAATGCCAATGCCAACCCCAATGAAGTCATGTTTTTAACCATTTTCAATGAAATCGTGTTTCTATCTATCTCTTTGTATGCAGAATTTCTTTTTTAATTGAGTATTTATAGGGAGGGGAGAGGGTGGTGTTAAGTTTATATATGTTAAGAAATTAAATATTAAAATTAGAGATCTCATAAAATTATACGTTATATTATTTACAAGATAAAAGGAATGTGTAAGTAATGGTGAACTTTCGATTATCATATTTATGATTATTAATTTTTTTGCTTATTGCTTATTGGCGTTGACCATAATTTTTTTTAGTATACAACAATTTTGGAATAGTTGAAAACTTTCCTTTTAATTTTGTGATTAATTATATTTGAAGATTTTATTTCATATCAAAAATATGATTTATTAAAAATATAGTTATGTTTTTTAAATGCCTAAAAGCAATAATCATAGCAAAAGCGGTTTCATATAAATCGAAATAAAAGTTACTAATTTCAAATATTGTTTATTAATCAGAAAGATTAAGTCTTATTAAATTATCAAAAATAAAATATTGCATATTTTTTAGTTCTCATGAGAAAAATTATTTAAAACTAGTTAAAGTTATATAAAAGTATTTGAAAAAAAAAAAAAAGACATTGTAACTGCAGCTAAAGAATGTAACATTTATCATATAAAAAAACGATTCAACAAATAACTAAATTAGAAAGCTTTCTTTATAAATCACAGTCGGTTTTTTACTAAATACATAATCTTTTTTTTTCCAAAATCTTTTGGAATAAGGGGTTGTTTCCACGCGCAATATAGGTTACAAGGAAAGAAAAAATAAAGTAGAAACTTGAAACACATTTTTGAATTGATATTATAGTATTCGCCTATATGGTTAGAAAATTTCATCCGATGATTATGATTTTACTAGGATATTTAAAGTCGCTTCTATTTTATATTGATAATTAAGAAATTGTTTCGTACTTTGCTGATATTTTATATTAAGATTAATCATTGTTCAATAAATCAATGTTTTGAGGTATAAAAGTTGGGACTAATATTATAAAAGTCCTAAATTTTTAAATCGTAATTGGAAAAAGCCATAATATATTTATTTTTATTGCTATGGCCACAACTTTCTCGCAGAATTATTACTCTAGCCCACTTAACGAGTTTCATGGTTAACTTGGTTAAATTTTTTGCAAAATCAATCCTAAAAAGTTCAAATTTACTCCATGAGGTTTGCAAAAATTACACCACATCGTTTTTTAACTTTATTTTTCATTTTTTTGTATACTTTATTTATTTTCGGTTTTTTATAAATATATATACATTTTTTATTTTCTTTTTTTATATATTTTATTTATTTTCATTTTTTAACTTTATTTTTCAACAATTTGATTTTTTTACCTTTTATACCTTTTGTTTTCTATTTTTTTCTATCTTAGTTATTTATGGTTTTTCTAATGTTTTTATTTATTTTGATTCAAGTAAACGAACTCGAATTTAATATAAATTACTATAACAAGTTTTTTATAGAGACCAATTATTATTATTATTATTATTTTCTTTTAGTTTATTATCAAATTGAAAAATATTATCTTGAATTTAAACTATAAAAAACATCATAAATGGTCCCTGTGGTTTCCCAAAATCTGAAGTGTAGTCCCCGTGGTTTAAAAACGTCATAGATGGTCCCTGTGCTTTCAAAACTTTTGACGATTGGTCCTTTTTGCTAACTCCGTTAAGTTTGTCCGTTAACTAAAGGGCATTTTCGTCTTTTCACGATCACAGGGACCATTTATGAGGTTTTCACTTATTTAAAAAAAATGAAAAAATGAAATAAGATGCAAAGGGGGTCCCACCCCCCCCCCTCTCTTTCTCTCTCTCAAGCCCTCTCTTCCTCTCGTTCTGATATCACCAACCACCACCATCATGTTTCTTACTCTTTGCTGTTGATCGGAGCTAGCCAAGCACTTTCACATAATAACAAAAAAGGGTTTAAGGCAAATATGGATCGTAACAACTAAAAACTTTCCTTGGCATTTTAACAAACACTTTGTGTGCATATTCAGTGAACTAAAAATTGATAAACATAATAACTTTTGCAGTATATGAAGAACAAGAGAGAAAGAAAGATGCCTCTGTCATTTTTAAACTCGTGTGAATCGAGCACCAAGTACACCTCAAGAAAACTAGACCCACCCTTAACCTTCGAAGATCAAGACTGAGATGCCCTTTTTTCCTGTGTGCCTTTCTTCTCATCTGTACAGATTCAAATCACAGCCCCTTCTTCCTTATGTTCTCCAATTGCATATTGAAAAGGATTATGGTGGTGTTCTGATGATGGACAATGAAACGGTATAGGAGAAGAGAGAATGATTTCAATAGAGATGATGGTCTTAATTCTTCACAGAGAAAAGATGTATGTCCTGGTTCTTGATTTAAAAACTTTGGTGAGATAGATACAACCATACAGGCGGTGGTCAAATTAGGAGGTGGATGAGAAGATAGATTGTTGGGTCTATTAGTTTTGGTGAATCGGAGTCCTCAATGTGGCAGCGGGTGGTGGCGGCGTGCAATTGTAGTTCCACTGCCTTGATCATTTGTTTTATGCCAACGTGAACTCAAAGGGAGTGGCGGTGAACGGTGACAGGTGGTCGAAGGGAGCTGGTTAGATGGAGCCACACAAGCAGTAACAGCAGCACACGGTGTTTGGCTAGCTCCGATCAACAGCAAATAGTGAGAAACACGATGATTGTGGCTGGTGATATAAGAACAAGAGGAAGAGAGGGGTTGAGAGAGAGAGAGATGGAGAGGGTGGGACCCCCTTTGCATCTTATTTCATTTTTTCATTTTTTTAAATAAGTGAAAACATCATAAATGGTCCCTGTGATCGTGAAAAGAAGAAAATGCCCTTTAGTTAACGGACAAACTTAACGGAGTTAGCAAAAATGACCAATCGTCAAAAGTTTTGAAAGCACAGGGACCATCTATGACGTTTTTAAACCACAAGGACTAAACTTCAGATTTTGGGAAACCACAGGGACCATTTATGATGTTTTTTTCTTTAAACTATTGATATCATATATAAAAATATGATTTAATTTCCAAGTTATATAACACATTGAAACACTAATGTCAATAAACAAGCTAATTTTTTTTTTTAATTTTCGTTTTTTCGTAACATAAATATAATAGCACTAAAGAAAAAAAAGTAAAAAAAAATAAGTTGGACCGAAATTACAAATATAAACATAACAAATTTATTTACTTGAATAAAAATAAAAAAAATTACAAAAACTATAAATTATATAAATTGTAATATAATCTAATATATTAATACATTTTATATTTTTTGAAAATGGTCAATAAAAAGTTAAAAATACAAAAAAATAAAAACAAATAATTGGAAAACAAATAAGAAAAAAAATAAAAAAAAAAGATGAAAAAATTAAAATATAGTACGAAAAGAAATATGAAAAAAAAACTAAAAAAAACTCTAATATACTCTATATATACACTATAAAATAGAAAAAAAAGGTAAAAAGGTAAAAAAAAAAAAATCAAATTGATTGAAAAATAAAGTTAAAAAATGAAAATAAATAAAGTATATACAAAAACGAAAATAAAAAATGTATATATATTTATAAAAAACCGAAAATAACTAAAGTATACAAAAAACGAAAAATAAAATTAAAACATCATGTGGTGTAATTTTTTGCAAACCTCAGGGATCAAATTTGAACTTTTGCGACTGATTTTGCAAAAAAATTAACCAAGTTAACCATGAAACTCTTTAAATGGGCTAGAGTGATAATTCTGCCAGAAAGTTGTGGCCATAGCAATAATAAAAAAAATATTAGGGCTTTTCTCAATTACAGGTTAAAAATTCAGGGCTTTTATAATATTAGTCCAGTTGTAAAGATAAAATGCTCTTTTAAACTATTTCTTGATGTATTTCTTCATAAAAAAACGTTGATCCTAATAATCATTACTTCAAAAATAGCAACTAAAGGCTAAAATAGCAATTAGCCGCTCATTATCCACATCCAGATTACATGATTTAATTAATGAAAATGTATAAAAATGTTGCATAAACCGACATGCAAGGCGCAAAACATGGGTTTTCAAATTTCACAAACATTCTCTCAAAATTCAAAACCCCCAAATGTTGATCCAACACCCCAAAAGAAAAACCTCAATCGCTAAATTGTATATTGTAGATTATTTTTGTTTACAGATAGCAATGGAGATTGTCTCTACCTCAATTGCCTCTTGTCCAAACGAGCATCGGAAAATCTATCAACAATGGTTCGACTACATCGATTCAGGTTACAATTCTATTAATTTTTGTGTAATTTAATGCGTTAAAGGTAGTGATTCAACTTCATTATTCGGGTTTTAATTCGTAATTCTCTGAATTTGATCATTTTACACGCGCAAATATATTATATATTTACTTTGCGTGTGGATATATATGTATGCCCGTGAAGATTATTTACTATTCGCGTAGCTTTTTGATTTTCGGATTCGGATTGATTTGTCCCTGTATTTGATAGATTCACACGCAGACATATGTATTGGTGTAAATATATGTGTGTTCGCTTTATGTATTGATGAAAATTTATGGATCCAGGAAAAATTTCTATTATATCCTCTGTATAGGATCAATTGACACACATGAACACTCATGCGTTAATGTACATGTAATCTGATAGGTATATGAATCTGTGTATATGATCAATTGCAAAGTGAAAGTCAAATGTGTTAAAGCTCTACTTGGATTCTCTTTACACTTATACACATTCCCAAAGTTCATTTGTTAATGCGTATCATTCTGTTGGATTTATTGAGGTTTTGTATAATGCTAGTGTAATTATGAGGTTGGGCTTTTATCTGCAGATGATGATGGTCGGATAACAGGAATTGAAGCATCAGAATTTTTAGCTATGTCAAAGTTAGCAAAGCATGACCTTAAGCAGGTAAATATAGCAACTTTGAAGCCCATTCATTTTCTCCCACTACTGCATTCTTAATTCTTGATGTTAGATATTGTGTTTTTGAAGGTTTGGGCCATTGCAGACTCTAAGAGGCAAGGTTTTTTATGTTTTAAAGAGTTCATCACTGCTATGCAGGTTTGTCTGTTGTTGTTTATGAATGCACATTATTTACATCAACAGGTTTGATCTTAGAATCTAATTTTGTTCTATTTTCATGGCAATAGTTGGTGACTCTAGCACAAGCAGGACATGATCTAAGTATAGATTTATTGAGAAACACAGGCATGTAATGACACTTTACTAACAAGGAGCATATAAACCATTTTTCTTCATGTTTCATATGATATAATAATATATATATATATATATATATAAGTGTCATCATTGATCATAACTACCAATTATTTAATGTTTTTTTTAGATGTGGAACGTTTGGAACTTCCATCGATAGAAGGGTTGGGTCAGTTTCTTGCGGTAAGTATAAGTTATTGTATTTTTCATTTTATTTATTTATTTTTGTATCTATTGTTCATGTTTATGGAAGTCATTATTTTTATTGACTTTTATGTTTGTTTTATTTCATCCTCCAGAAGCGTAATGCTTCAAGAAATGATGCTGGAGCTGAATCAAATGGTTGGTGCATCTCTCATTTTTAATACTCCCTCTTTTTTTATAGTAAGTGTCCTTCATTTGACATTTCAAAGTCAACCAAAAAAAAAAAAAAAACTACATTTTAACTTCAAACCGATATTAACCAGTCTAGGTTTCTGTATAAAGATATCAACCATATAATACAAGTCAGAAATCAAGTTTTTAGAATGCAAAACATGTCACAGTTAGTTTTGAAGATGGAAGTAGACGCCTAATATGGAACAAATATTAATTTCTTTTACTGTTATTGTTGATTATGTTGTTTGACTTGAGATGATGTAGGCACTCCTCCATTTTCAAGTATCCCAAAGCTTAACACTTTTTTTTCTTCAAAATCTACTAAGAAGGTAAGCATTTTGCACTCATGCCCTTAAGATTTTCATTCTGTCACGTGTTTTTTTTTTTACTTTTTCAGACAGCACTTAATGATGTGACATCAATAGTTGACGGATTAAAGAAATTGTATAATGAAAAGCTAAAGCCATTGGAAATTGCTTACCAATACAATGACTTTGCATCTCCTTTATTGGTGAGAGATAATTATAAATTTCTAACAGAATTTTGTTTTCTTTATGTTTTTGGTAAACAACCTTAAATTGTTGTGTTGTGTTGTGAACAACATCATATGCAGACAGACAGCGACTTTTATGGCAAGCCTATGGTAATGCTTCTTGGTCAATACTCAACAGGGAAAACAACATTTATAAAACATATACTTAAATGCAATTACCCAGGTTGGTTATGTTCTTTTATTCATCAGTTTTCTCCTCTTTTTTATTTTATTTTATTTAAATCACAAGCTTTATGATATTTGTTTTACATGAACAGGAGCCCACATTGGACCCGAGCCAACAACCGATAGATTTATTGTGGTTATGGTAAATCTTTTATTATATATGATTCCACTTAGCTTTTTTTAGGCTAATTGCAAGAAACAGAAACTTACTTTCTAATGATTTCTTATCAAGGCATTGTACTTCAAAAAGTCTACCCAATTACAAAATGGGTAACCTGCTACCTTTTAAAACAGTTACCCCATTGATATAATGGGTAGATTTTTTTAAGTATAATTTCTTAATAAGAATAAATGGAAGTACAATCTGCTATAACGGAAAAATGGAAAATGCATTAATATTTCTTGCATTTAGGAGGACATGATATTTTGAACATGTAATTGTTGACTAAATATTTTTTTCATTGGGATATTAACTAAACTAACCATATTCTATGTTAATATTAAACAACATAAGCCAAAAAAAAATATTAAATGACTAACAAGTCCGAAATTCTAGACACCATAATAAGTACTTTTTCTTGCAAAAAAAGTACATTCCGGAGATTCCGGATTTCAGAAAAAAAAAAAAAAAAAAAACTTTGGAATTTCTAGAACAAGTTTGAAATCCAATGAACAATTCTGGAATTTGGATAAAATATTTTGTTATTTACTAAAATCTAACATAAAGTTAAAGAAACATAGCAAATGGGAATATATACGATACAAGGATTAAAACCAGACATTTTATTGAAAAACGGTGATATTAGACACTTCGAAATGGGCATTCCGGACGTAAGTAGAAAAGGTTTTTTGAAAAAAAGTTATGCAAAAAAAGAAACAAATAACTAAAATATATATATACTTTGGATTGTGGATAAAGTTGTCATTTTTCAAAAACAGAAAAAAAAATGGTTATTTTTGTTAATAAGCTCGGTTGGTTTAATTAATATCCCCTTTTTTGTTATATCGTGTGTTACAATTAACAAAATATGTGGAACATGTAGCAAGGCTACCCATTGGTATAATTGAATAATATAAAATACCAAAACAAGAAAAAATTTGAAAGTAGAATGGTATAATAAAAGTATTGTGGAAAGTAGTAGATTGCTATTTCTTGAGTTGTTATTATTTGTATTTTGTAATGTAGAATGGGCCGGATGAAAGAACCATACCTGGGAACACTGTTGCAGTACGACCAGATATGCCATTTGCTGGTCTCTCAACATTTGGAGGAGCATTTTTATCAAAATTCGAGTGTTCCGAAATGCCTCATTCTGTAAGTAACCTTTCATTCAATTAAAAAGAGATTTATTTTTATTTTTTTATACAAATTAACTAATATATATATATAAATATATTTTTTTAGCTTCTGGATCATATATCATTGGTTGATAGTCCTGGTGTTTTATCGGGAGAGAAGCAACGCACACAAAGAAGTTATGATTTTACTGGCGTTATAAAGTGGTTTGCAGAAAAATGTGATCTTATTCTCCTTCTTTTTGACCCTCATAAACTTGATATAAGCGATGAATTCAAGCGTGTCATTACATCTTTAAATGGTCAAAATGACAAGATCCGTGTGGTCCTTAACAAAGCTGACCAAGTTGATACACAAAAAGTAAGCAGTACAACTTGTTCTGTTCTGTCATGTCATGTCATGTATCATATCATAAATGGGGTGGGGCCTATTGTTTGGTTGTTGAATTAATTGTGAATATGTAACGTTGTTAATTTCTTCTTCTGTTGAAGTTGATGAGAGTTTATGGTGCGTTGATGTGGTCACTAGGGAAATTTTTGAACACACCAGAAGTCGCACGTGTTTATATCGGGTATAAAGTATATATATATATTTTTTTCTTTGTGGTTTTAATTTGAATGCTTGTACTCCACCTTAACCACTTGGTGTTTCTTAATGGGACAAAGATTGTAATTTTATGTCCCACCCAAAAAGAGGGGGAGAAAAAGACGTAAATGCCCTCTCCTCATCTTCATCGTCGAAAATATCCCTAGAAAGCTTCGGTCTCATGTAACAAACACAACCCATACATATATAAGCTCTTATGGTCCATCCATAATACATGAAAGGACTTCCGTTGTATTACTTTTGTATTATAAAAAGATAAAATATACAAAATTTGTTAATCAAATTTTATATATTTTGGATTTTTCTTTTTTTGCCATTTAACAGATCGTTTAATGATAAACCACTTAAGGAAGGAGTAGTGGATGCCATGATCAAGGAACTTTTTGAGAAAGAACAGGATGACCTTCTTTTAGACTTAATAGACATTCCCAAGAAAGCTTGTGATCGAAGGGTATGTTTATCTTGAATTTCATAATATATTTTTTTAAGTAAAATATTTTTTTAAAAAAATTTAAAATGTAATCAGATCAATGAGTTTGTTAAACGTGCCCGAGCTGCAAAGATACATGCGTATATAATCGGCCATTTGAAAAAAGAGATGCCTTCCATGTTGGGTAAAACCAAAGCTCAACAAAAACTCATAGATAATCTTCAGGATGAATTTGCAAAGGTATTCCTTTTTTATTTTTACTAAAAAAAACACTCTTTTTTAATTATAACTAATCAACTTTCATTAAGAAAAATTATAAAACATCATTAAACCCACATAATATCTTAATAAAAGCTAATTATATTTAATGGCAAGTTTGGTCTGACTTTTGAAAATTTCTTGTCCTTAGGTTTGCATTTCATTGTAGATTTAGTTCTTATGACAATGAAATGCAAGTCTTAAATTGGACCAAATTGAGAATTTGAGTAAAACATAGGGACCAATTTAATAACAAAATGCAAACTTAACGACAACCTAGAGAAGATTTCAAAAAGTGGGCCAAACTTGTGATTTTCAGTAAAGCATATGGACCAAATTAGAAATTACTCATTTATTTAAGACTAAATTACATTTTTCGTCCCTGGATATAGCTGATTGTTTTTAATCCTTTGGTTCCAAAATGTTTTCTTTTGCAATTTTATTCCAAGTAAAAAGACTACTTTTTACACCATAAGAAAAAATCAGTTATACTCATGGACCAAAAATAGTCATTTTTCCTTGGAATAGAGACAAAAAATGCCATAACAACCTTAAATAAGGACCATAATTGAAAAAATGAGCTACACTTAGGGACCAAAAATGTAATTAACCACCCTATCAATCAACAGATTGAAAAGGAATACCATGTGCCCCCTGGCGATTTTCCAGATATTGAACAGTTTAAGGAAGTTCTTGCTACGTATAATATCGATAAGTTTGAGAAAGTGAAGCCCAAATTGATTCACGCTGTTGATGAAATGATTGCAAATGATATTCCTGAACTCTTGCAAAACTTTAGAAATCCTTATGATTAAAACCAAGTTTCATTTTTAAAATCAAATCTGTAACATTTTCAGTAACCACATCAATCAAAGTTTATGTTGTAAATTGTAATCAATGTATATTCATATTGTTGATGTTAAAAGTTGGAATAAATATTCAGATTTTTTTGCTTACAAAGTGGACAAATCTATATTTGGTAATAAATTCCCAAATATAATATCTTTTAATCATAAATTATCCGATCTTCGACATTTGATTGGAACTAGCAAAGAACTCGCGGCTACGCCGCTTTTGGGGTAATATGGGGAAAATCGGCAAACTTTAAAAAATACGTGCTGAAAGTGCAAATCACCGCAAATAGGAGAGAAAGTCGACAATCCCTAAAATTAGATGTCCAAAGTGTACGACAACCAAAAGAAGGGACACTGGTGGAGAAAATCCAAAAATGTTGTGGCAATAATGTGAAAGTTGCCAAAGTTGAGAAAATATGGTGGCAAAATTCTAAAGGAGGTTTTTTGCGTTTTTTATGTCAAAATGTAAAAGTTTTGACTATAAGGATGAAAAGTGTCAAATTCATTAAAGATTTGTGGCAAAAACACCAAAATATAAAACTTTTCACTACAAGGACGAAAAGTGTCAAAGTTACTAAAGATTTGTGGCAAAACCCTAAAAGCACAAAAACTTAATCAAAACACAAAATTGTAAAAGTTTTCACTTGAAGGACTAAAAGTGTCAAATTCACTAAACATTTGTGACAAAAACCTAAATACATAAAAGTTACTATTGCTAACTCCCTTTAGATTTAATATATATATATAGAATTATTTTTAATTTTCTATTTTAATTTTTAAATATACATGTCTTGTGTTTAGTTTTCTTCACCGATTTATGTAATTCAATATTGTTGTTATCACCGTAAGCGTACTTTGTTCATATATCAAATATATCTTTTTGGGTAAATAGCACAAAAGACACTAAGTTTACACAAAAATTTTAATTTGACATTATTTTTTTTCGTATCAAATTTGACACTGTGTTTTTTAATTTTTTACAATTCTGACCACTTGACTGGTCAACCCGGTTACTTGCTGATGTGACATGATGACGTGTAAGTTTTTTATGATGTGGCATGCTGACATGACATGCTGACGTGTCAAATTTGATTTTTTTCCCACAAAAGACATTAAATTTTCATTTTTTTTCGATTTTGACACTAAGTTTAATTTTTTCTTTCAATTTTAACACTCCGTTTTTTTGTTCCAAATCGAACATCATTTTTTTCTAATTTTGTTTAATGTTGACCATTTTCCATTTTAAACTGTATAAATATTTTTTTAAATATATTTTAAAACGTTTGAATAAATTCTTTTCATTTAAAAACCATATTTTTGCCTATATATATATATATATATATATATATATATATATATATATATATATATATATATATATATTACATTCAAACCATAATTTTATGTATAAATATGTATTAGTTATATAAAAACCGTAATTTATATTAAATACACAACTTCAAAATGAGTTTGGAGATTTGGAGGCGTGTAGTCGATCAATCAAGGCCCAAATGTCAAGTTTACAACCCCATGAAAATTTTACATCTTATTCGAAGCTTATGATTATTTTGGTTCTCGTGATATAACTAATGCATAATTTGAATGTAAAATAGAACCCTGTATTTAAATAAAAATGTGGTTTTAAACGAAGAAAATGTATTTATACGGTTTAAAATGTAATAAAAAATATATTTATACGGTTTCAAATTGAAAATGATCAACATTGAACAAAACTGGAAAAAATGATGTTCGAGTTGGAACAAAAAAAACAGAGTGTCGAAATTGAAAGAAAAAATTAAACTTAGTGTCAAAATCGAAAAAATTGAAAACTCAGTGTCTTTTGTGGAAAAAAATCAATTTTGACACGTCAACATGTCATGTCATCAAAACTGACACGTCATCATGTCACGTCAGCAGGTAACCGAGTTGATCAGTCAAGTGGTCAGACTTGTAAAAAATTGGAAAATGTAGTGTCAAATTTGAGACAAAAAAAACATAGTGTCAAATTAAAATTTTTGTGTAAACTTAATGTCTTTAGTGTTATTTACTGTATCTTCTTCTAAATAATATGGGAATGTGAAAATAATGATAATAAGATTATTAAGAGAATAGAAAGTTATTAATAATGGTAAATATGAGAATTCTTTTCAAATATCAGAAAGTGAGAGAGAATTAGGAGATAAATTTGAAAGATTATTAGATTTCAATTTTTATTTATAGTTTCACAACTGAATTATGAAAATATGTCTTGTTGGGTTGAGTAAATATCCATCCACACCTATTTTCCATAAACATAAGGTAACTAGGAGGTAAGATGTCGATCCAATGACAAAAAATGGGAGACTGCTTTGATATATACCTCTGTCATAAAAAAATATTATTAGAACGTCACATTGTTCTACACTATGAAATATGAATGGTCACGCAACAATAGAGAGTCTCTTTGATAATTGTTGATTGAGTCAGGCGTAACAATTTATCACACTTAGTAAAAAGACATATCAAAAGTTATGGAACCAGAATCAAGTCCAACTAATTGTAATATAAAACAGTTTGAATTTGAACGAGTCAGACCTAACCTCATACAATATATAGTAAAAGGCATATCAAACAGCTAAGTGTAACTAAAAAAACATATATATACAATAAAGTTGCTAGCAAAGAACGACATGGACTATTGCAAATAATATACAAATACACAAACACACAAACACTGAAAGCAAATACTATAAATAAAACGAAAAGCAGATACTATTGTTTTTAACATAAAGTAAATATGAAAGAGTAAAATGGTGTGCTGCAAATGCAAATAGTTAAAAGAAAACTAAACCTAACCAGAACCATAAATTGTTTCTTAGGTTGAAGGTGTGGTAGCGAGTTTAGCATAGTCCACCTCAGCTTTCTTTCTTTCTGTCTTATTTTACCACCATCTTTGCTAAGTACCATGAGAGAGAGAGAGAGAGACTCAACATTTTCTAGCCGAGTTCAACTCTAGCCTCACACCAGACGCAGTGTTTGTCATAGCCATCGTGACATACCACATGTTAAACTGCACTCACATTTTTGAGTCCTAAGATAGAGAGTGTCGTGTCATGTATGGTTCTACCATGGCAAAGACACTCCACATCAACTACATATATGATTGGGTGTGGTAAAACCATGGAGAGAGAGAGAGAGAGAGAGAGAGAGAGAGAGAGAGAGAGAGAGAGAGACTTCAGTTGTTTCTTGCCGAGCTCGGGCAAACCGCATGGCAAACCGTAGGGTGAGGGTGGTGTTCCCCTCATATGATGTGACATACCGTATTTGTATTTGTTACTGCATCCACACCTTCTAGCCTTAAAGACATAGGTAAACATGTTATTTGAAATGTTTACAATATTAACGGGGTGTTTGGAAGTGCTTTTTAATAAATTTATTGGTTTTTTAAAAAATTAGAAAATTTTAATTTTTCAAATAAGTCATTTTTTACGCTAAAAGATGGTTATCAAACATTTTTTAACTTATTAATTTTTGAAAAAAATCAATAAATTAGTTATTTTGAAAAACACTCCTAAAATGAAGGAAAAAAAAGACAAAATTGCAAAAATGGTCCCTGTGGTTGGCAAAATTCTGTAGTTTTTGTCCAAAACGAAATGTTGGTGCACTACTAGTCCAATTTTAGATACCTCGTGTGGTTTTGATCCCTATGGTTGTATTTTCTTGTGTTTTTGGTCCACATCTCACCTAAAATGACTAATATGCCCCTTAAATAATTATATTTTAATTTCTTTAATTTCTTTTCTTATTCTTATAATAAAATGAAAAACAAAATAAACCCACCACTCACTCTCTCTCTCTCTCTCTCTCTAAATCTTCATCTGCCATGACAACAGCCTCATCTCTCGCACTTCTCTTCTCCTCCCATCGAGCAAACTCTACCGAACCCCTACCTGCCTGCCTTGTTCCACCGGACCATTCTTCTGTCCACCTTCCTTCGAGTTTCAACGTTGGATGCCGCCTCCGTTCTTCTTTCTTCGAACGACCCAAGGTCGGCGATTCTGCTGCCGAAGACGAGGAAGAAAAACCCACAAAGGGTCACCGGTCTCGAAGAATCTGCATATTTGGAAGAATTATTAGCTCATCATCACTTTAGTAAGGATTCACACACACACACACACTCTTTTTGAAATCGATTGAGAAGTGAAGACATATCAGGGGACGAAATCGATAGCAAATCTGTGAAGATTCAACCACTTTAAACCAATAAACCCTAATGGCTCGATTAATAGGTGTGTGTGTGTATTTTTGATCGCAGCTCTCAAGGATCCGATTTAAGGGTGATATATGGTGGTTCGGGTAAGGGGTGAAGGAAGGTGTTCGATTGTGGGTGATTAAGGTGACTTGAGGAATTTAGGATTTTGGTTTTGCTTAGAAGAAATCATAGAGGGGAAACAATGCGATCTTGGAAGAAGGAATGATTCTGATGATGAATCACTTTCACAAGTATGGAAGGTTGTCAAGCACATAAGGTGTTCGATGAATTGACAAAGTGACAAATAAAGTTATACCATTGAAAATGACTCACCTTTGGCTGACCCACACACTCTGTTTATGTTTCTTCTTCTTCTTCAAAGCCTCACACAACTATCTGTTCTTTTACTTTTGCTCCTATATAATATTCATCACAATCTTTTCTGCTTCTCTTGCAAATTAATGAACAACTCCAAATTAGAACCAAATCGATTAGAAGGGTAGTGTTGATGGGGAAGTTTTATCGGGCATGAGGAAGGAAAGATGGGGGTGAGGGTGGGATTGGATGTTTATGGTGGACAATGGTGGCAGTCAATGGTGATGGTGGCGAACGGTGGTAGCAATCGGTGGTGATGGTGGCGGCCACTAGTGGTGATATGTTCTTTCTTGAGTGCATGTGTGCGTTTTTGTTGAGAGAGAGGGAAAGAGAAATGGTGGGTAGACCTTTTTTTAAGTTAAAAAAATATAAATTAAATTAACATATATGTTTCAGCAATTAAAGAAAATTAAAAATATAAGTTATAAGGG